GGAGTTGGGTTACTGGACGTCGTTGGCGCTGGGCTCCAATGAAATGGCTGAGGAAAGAGTCACTGAGATGCTAGAAAGTAGAGACAGAATCTGTTGGTAGTTGACTAAACCAAAGTCGAGCCAACCCCTTGAGTGTTACGAGGAAAGCCCGACACATGATCTCATCGGGGAATGCATGGAGGATCATGAGGGTTTTGTAGGTCTCCAAGTGATCAACTGGGTCCGTTGTACAGTCGAAAGAGTCGATGGTGGGCATTTTGAACTTGGGGGGTAGAGGTTTGTCCCGGATGGAGGCAACGAACGGCAAGTTGGCCGTGGTGGATGGTTTATGCTGTATATTTTGCATGACTCCTTGGAGCTGGAGCTTTATGGTTCGGAGTTCTGCATCCCAGAGAGGAATGTTGTCACCACCGGAGGGAAGCGGGGGCTGGACGCTACTGGCCTCTCCCTCAGGGATTGGTACCAGGGCCGATGGATGCGGGCCCGGGGTGGCAGGTTTATATCCGGGAGGGGAGCTTGCAAGCCTTCCAAGTTGGGTGGGTTAGGTTGCAGGATAGTATGGCTCGGGGCTCGTTCTTGGTTGGGTGGAATATCTGGAGGTAGAAGAGGAGGCATAGGAAGGTTTCTTTGGCGTATAGCATTAATCAGGGCTTGGTTTTGCTCGGGCAAGCGGTTAATGCTGTTGGTGAGCACGGTGAACTACTGTGGTGGGTTATTCAGATTGGGAGGGTCGGCTTGATGATCAGGAACATTAGGGTGAGAAGCCATGGATCTAGTTGTGACCACCTTCACAGGTGATAGGAGGGAGTTATTGGGAGAGGGCCTCCGGCGACAATGAGCACAATTGGCACGCGGAACAAAAACCTTTCCCATAGACGGCGCCAACTGATGATACAGCGAGTTCCAGATGGAACGGGTCGGGCTGATCCACGCTTCCCAAACCGGTGTCCAAGTGATCAAGCCCACTAGAAAACCTGCACACGAGTTCAACGGAGAACAGGGAGTCCCCCAGCGAACCCTCCGACGAGCAAGTTAGAGAGAGAAGCGGAATGTAGAGATGAATTAGAGATAGAAAAGCTTAACCTTCTTCTTGTCTTCGACGTCTGCTTATATCCTCCGGTAATTATTTCGTTGTCCCTTCCGACCTGTCACCTTGGCCGAAAGTCTATGCTCTGGCTTACCTTGTTCATGGTAAAGGCGTTCTGTCTCGACGGAAAGGGGTTATCGCAATAAATGCTGTAAGGGGCTTCATTATGGCGATGTGTTGTGGCAATAATTTTGCAGATCTTTGTCTGCTTATGTGGCTTGCCCTTCTCTTGCCATGTGTCTTGCTATCATTGGTTCTTATTGCTACATGGGGTTTCAGCAATACTGGGCTTTAGTATTTGAGTTATGTATTGGACCCTAAATGATGGGCTATAATCTTTATGGACTTACCCATGTCATATGTTATGTGATACCTTTTTCTATTGTGATTGGTTTTAACAATAGAGTTTACTACATTTATGTTGGGTGTTTGAAAAATAATAAGGGACATATACATTTGCGATTAGTAAAAGATAGTGTTACGTATTAGCATACAAAAATTTCTCTGTTCTAAGAATAATTTGATTGAGAGATATTGTTGAATACGATAATTGGTTTGAATTTGATGATGGTGATCGTGGAAGAGGAATGAAAGAGTCAAAGTGAGAATCAGATTGAGAGATAAGAGAGAAAAGTGAGACCGAGGCTTGGTTCATTTTTAGTTAAAAAGTTATTATAAATTATCATATTACACTTTTTATTTTTTGACACATATTTTCATAAAAACTTTAAAAATTACAAAAATAAATTATTCCCAAACAACGTCAAAGGGTTGCAGTTCCATGATTTGGGAAAAAGTACATCCCTTAAAAATGATACAGGTAATACTGTATTTTTGTGGCATGGTTTAATGAAATGACAGTAAATGGCATTTTTCTAAACAATGACACTAAATTATTGTTATTAAATTATAGCATGCCACTAATTAATATTTGTGTTCCTATTTAATATTTGGACTAGATATGGAATAGAGAGTTATTAATTATAATTTTATATTATTTTAGTTGTAAAATAAGATACAAAAAAAATAAATGGGTTCATATAAGTCTGCTTATCAATTATTATTATAATTTAATTTTACATTAATTATAATTTTATATTATTTTGCACAATAAGTTTAAGGAAAAATTTCACTTACCTCTTGGAGTTTGGGCCATGTGCAGTTTACCGCTTAATTTTTGAAAATGACCACATACCCCCTACATGGTTTGTAGACTGAAATACACCGTTAAAGATTCCGTTCAACTTAATACTAAGTGTAAAATATGTGACAGGCATAAGGAGGTTATATACTTATTTTCAAATTTCAAAGGAATAAATCGTACAAAATAAAGCACAGGAGTTAAAGTGCACATTGCCTTCCAAACAAATAATGAAAATATTTGTAATTCACACACTTAAGTTACTTATATATATGGGTATTTTAGTATTCTTCATTAAATGGTTAACGGATCTAACATTGCACTCTAGTCTACAAACTATATAGAGTTTATATGGTCATTCCCAAATATTGAGGTAAATCACACATAGACCAAACCACATGAGATAAAGTAAAGTTTGCCCTAAGTTTAATTCAACAATCTTGCTATACATGTGGCATGTAGAGTTAAATTACATGTTATATTGAGTCCATTTATTTAATTTTTTTGCATTTTAAAAATTATTGGGAGTATATTGGCGGTTTTTTTTTTTTTCCAAAAAAAATGATATTAGAAAGCATTGAAAGATTTGGCTTAGTAGCATTTTTCAAAATACCATAAAAAATTATTTGTTTATGACATTTCTTACTGAATGCCATAAAAAGTTATGGACACCTACCTAATTTAATGACATCTTTTATAAAAAAAAAAATTGTTGTTACTACTAAAGTTTAGTGGCACCTTCTCAAAAATGAGATTGAAAGCATGTCATGTATTGATCGTTCAGTAACATTTGTTAACAAATGCCATTAAAATGAATTTTAGTGTCATTTTTTTTTATAAAATGCCACAACCTTGATGCCACTAAATCACATTCTTGTTGTAGCGTGGGTTTCATTTTCTAAAAGAAATTAAGTAAAATTAAGAAAATAAAACAATAGAAAAAATTAGTGAAACATTCCTCTCCAACTTTGTGTAGTAGAAGCCAAGATCTTTTTTTTACTAGCTAAGGTCCCACAACATTTTCACAAAGAAATTTGACTCAGAGAAATTTCAGTCCTAATTCAAAGAAATTTCAATTTTCACAAAAATTCCTTTGTAAAAATTAAAATTTCTCTGAATCGGCCCAAATTTCTCTGAGTCGAGCAAAATTTCTTTGAATCGAATTTTCTCTGTGAAAATGTTGTGGGACCTTAACTACTATGAAAATATTGTATACCCTTTATCTTATAAAATCTTAATATTAAGGATCTTTAAAAAAAAATCCAAAAAAATAATTTTATCCCATCTTCTCCAAACCTAAAATTATATTAAGATTTAGTTAAAATAAAAATATAATTAATGATTATTGATTAGTTTAAAATATAATTAAATTAAAAAATAAAATAATTAATGATTGATCTAAAATAGAATTAAATTAAAATTAGATAAAGATATTAGAAATTAAATAAATAATCCCAACTAGAAAAGGGGCTAAAAAACAAGGAAGTTTTTGCAAGGAAACACTTCTCCCCCGCAAAAACACATCATTTGAGACAAATTATTTAAGCCATCGCTATTTTATATTTGAATAAAAAAAAAATGTAACGTTATCTTAAAAATGTATAATATTATTATAAAATGCATAACATCATTTTTAAACAATAAATTATCTCAATTTTACTTAAAAAAATTAGGTAATATTTATCACAAAAATGAGTACCATCCATCACAAAAACGCATAATAAGATATATAAATGGCATTTTTCAAAATGGGCCGATATGCAACGAGGAACATGCAGCACACGTGGATTAATTTTATACATTTGCAGCCTCATCTTTTGCATAAGGTTGACCATAACTGGAACATGCAGCACACGTGCATAACATCACTTTTTGGCTATCATACAAAATTTTATATTAAATGAATAATTAAATATTTTATATGAGTGTAGGATATGTAATTTTGTGAATTTTACATGTATGTAAAATATTTGATCATTTATTTAATAAAAAATCTGGGACGTATACCATTTTTCATTCATAAAAGCTTGTAAGAGAGGGCAAATGATCGAACCAAACCAACCATCATCATTGATTTGTCCATATTGTTACTGAAAAAATAACTTATAAGTACCAGCCAATCTTAGTTTTTGTTCCAAACTAACAAAAACCAAACCTACATATGAAGATGGAAGTTGAACTCATTTCCAAAGAAATCATAAAACCATCTTCATCAACACCTCCTCACCTACGAACCATGAAACTCTCTCTTTTTGACCAAGGTGGTGGCCTAAGTCATGTACCAATCATTTTATATTATACCAAGAGGGATGCAAATTTCAACATCAATGAAAAGGTGATTAATCAACTCAAGGACTCACTCTCGAAAACACTGGCTCTCTTCTACCCTCTTGCCGGAAGAGTCAAAGACCGCTTCTCTATCGATTGCAATGATGAGGGCGTCCTGTTCTCAACCACCCGTGTTAATTGTGACATGGCCAACCTGATCACAACACAACCACCCGATCTTCAGTCTTCTTCCGCACTTGTTCCATATTATGTTTTCGTTGATCCACGCGATAAGGTAGTTCAAGTTGCTATTCAACTCAACATATTTACTTGTGGTGGAGTCGTGATCTCTGGGTGTTTTATGCACAAGATCATGGATGGTGCAACCATTGGTGCCTTCCTTAAATCTTGGGCCTCCAATTCCATTGCAAGATTAGGCTTGTCATCACCACCACCACCACCAGAAGAAGAGAAGAAAAAAAGTTAGTATACCCAGGGACCTCAATGATTCCTTCCAAACAAACCCTACCAGCTGATCACTCAAACTGGCCTGAAAGGATGTTGCTTAGGGAGGGCGATGGTACCGTACAAAGGTTTTTGTTCAAATCCGAGGCAATATCCACCCTCAAAGCTAAAGCAACTAGTGAACGGGTGCCTAACCCAACTCGTGTCGAAGCAATATCAGGATTCATTTGGAAACATGCTATGGCTGCATCAAAAGCAGTCTGGGGTATGCAACAGCCATCCATGTTGAGTCATCAAATGGACTTGAGACGGAAAATATTTGAGCCATCATTGTCAAAGTATTCTATTGGGAATTTTACATGGAAAGTAGTTGCACACTACTATCCATTTGCTGAAAAAGTAGAAGAAGAAGAAGAAAAGATCACGTCATTGGATGGCTTGGTGGGTTTACTAAGAGCGGCAATAGAGAAAACAAGAGATGACATTCTGCCAAAGCTACTGCAAGGAGATGATGGGGGGTATGACGTATTTAGTAAGTTTGTCCAAGACTTAAGAGAAACTTGTCAGAGTAATAAAAATTTAAATCCATACACGTTTAGCAGTTGGTGCAAAATTGGTTTCAATGAAGTTGATTTTGGGTGGGGAAAACCTACGTGGATTAGTCCTGCTGGGACCGGAAGAGTTAATTCAATTTATAAGAATACTGTTGTTTTGATTGAAGCTGGATTGGATGATAGAATTGAAGCCTGGTTGACCTTGGATGAGCGCGAAATGGCTGTACTGGAACATGATGAAGAGTTCCTTGAGTTTGCTTATGTGAACCCAGCTGTAATTTTGCCCTAGCTAGCTAGGTATCTTGTAGTGATTCATGTCTATCCTAATATGATAAATGTTGGTTGATGTTGGAACAAACTTCTTAAATTTAAAAATTAGGGAGTGCTAATTATAATAATGTTGGTTCATGTCAATCAAAAGAATTTACACACACAAATTCTAATAAACTTCAATCCTAATTATAATAAATGTTGGTTCCTAGCCTGTGGTTCACATTCATTCTAAGTACATGGGGTTGCACCACAAGAGTTCGAGTCTTTTAGGCGATGCCAACTGTGCGGTGATGATTCTGCACTAGTGAATAAGGAGTGTGTTTCCCAACTGTTTAACACTAGAGGGGAGTGAATAGCGTCTTTTTGGAGTCCGGATCCTCTCCAGCTCTCCTCTCCAGCCCTTCCTCCCTCCGGTCAACGGCCAGGATTTGGCCAGGTCAGTCCTAACCAAATCTACGGCTGAGATCAAATTAACTAATCGAAAAAAAAAAATGAATTTTATTCAACACAGCAAAGCAAAACAGATCTTTCTCCCATATCTTGAGACTTCAATCCTAATTATAATAAATGTTGGTTCCTAGCCTGTGGTTCACATTCATTCTAAGTACATGGGGTTGCACCACAAGAGTTCGAATCTTTTAGGCGATGCCAACTGTGCGGTGATGATTCTGCACTAGTGAATAAGGAGTGTGTTTCCCAACTGTTTAACACTAGAGGGGAGTGAATAGCATCTTTTTGGAGTCCGGATCCTCTCCGGCTCTCCTCTCCAGCCCTTCCTCCAGTCAACGGCCAGGATTTGGCCAGGTCAGTCCTAACCAAATCTACGGCTGAGATCAAATTAACTAACCGAAAAAAAAAAATGAATTTTATTCAACACAGCAAAGCAAAACAGATCTTCCTCCCATATCTTGAGCTCTAGTGACTCCATCTCCTGACATCGACGACGGCAAATCCAAGTCGGCCACGACCATACAACCACATCTCCACCACAACACAGCCACAGTCCATGTTTTTCTTGCGAACGGACATTGAATTGTGACTCACAGATTAAACCCATAAGGCTACGCTTAGATTAAACCCACAAGGCTACTCTGTAACTTCTCTCCTACACAATAACCTTTAGACCCTTCTTCAATGGGTGATATCTCTAATCATGCACCATTGAGAGAGGGCATTTGTGGTTTGTTTGAAAGAAGGTGTTTTGGGATTGCTCTATTTCTGTGTATTGAGAGAGAGAGAGAGAGAGAGAGTGAACAAAGCAAAGAAATTGTATGAGATGAGAAGTAATGGAGGAAGTGGATATTTGGAGGGCAAGAATTTCAAGGATTGCTCTGTTTATTCTTCAATGAATATATGTAGCAAAATATATGTATTGTTGAGATAGATAAATAGAGGGAGAGACCCGAGAAGGAGCCGTCGATGTTCGCCGCCGATGGTGCTTTGTGTTCGTTCGTCGATGTTCCTTCGTTCATCGAGCCGTTGCTGTCGATGTTCGTTCTCCGCCGAACACAATTTCAGGGAGCTCTGTTTTGCTTTGCTGTGTTGAATGAAACTCATTTTTTTTTTTTTTGTTAGTTAATCTGATCTGAGCCATAGATTTGGTTAGGGGTGACGTGGCCAAATCTTGGTCATTGACCCGAGGATGGGTTGGAGAGGAGGGCTGGAGAGGATTCGGACTCTCTTTTTGCAAACCCCGAATTCTTATAGTGGATGTTTGGAAAGTAAGTTTTTATGTAGATTTTTTTAGTTGTAAAATTTTATTTGGAGAAAATTTTTTTGGCGTTTGGAAAGATAGTTGAGTTTTTTTGTGATTAGATGTGATGTTTGTGAGAGAAAAAGTGAAATGATTATGAGGTTGGGTGTGATATTTTGTTTGGATTTATTTTTTTTAATTTTGCAAAAAAGTTTGTCTTTTGGTGAAAAAAATCAAAAAAAACCTAACACACAAACTTCTCAAACACCAAAAATAAGTGAAAAATAATTCTATGTAATGAAGATAACTAAATAAATTCAAATAACACAAAAACACAAGTGCAAAGTATCTGTAACAATGTATGAAAAACTTGGTGTGTAATATTCAAGTATTTAGGAAGACTAATTTAATTATTTTAAACAAATCTTCAAACATTTGTTATTAAAGAGATGGGCAAATAATTAAATATGTAGTAGTGGTAAGCAATTTTAAATAAATTCAGAAAAAAAAATAAAGGGGAGAGAGAGAGAGATGTTGGTATACCTTTTTATTGGAGTATGTGACCCAATTGATTTATTAAAATATTTAGTTTGGTTTGATGTTGGTTATAATATATTTTTAATATATTATACCTAATTTTTAGAGGCTCAATGGGTATTTAATAATCTGTTTGGCAACAGTGAGGGTTCCAATAAAAGACCTAGAATCAACAATATATATATTGTTTTTAGTTCTTTTTTTTTTAGCAGCAGTAGCGAATTGTTCTTCCGTGGGATAGTGCTTGGGTATGATTTGTTTGTGAGATTAGTGCTTGTCAATTCGGTGGGTTGGTTCTCAAAGTTCAGCTTGCTATGAATTCAATTTGGTGAAGCTATTTTTTGATTTGGATTTGTGGTCTTCTTCAACTATGTTTGGAAAACAATTTTGTTTATCTATTTGGTGATGTCTTTCCTCTTGTTTATTTGTGATTATTTAGAATTTACCTAAAAGTGGTTTGTGAAACTATTCGTGTCTCGTTTATAATCGTTTGGAAACTTTTTGGTTGATAGTGGAATCGGATTTCGATTCCGTGGACGTACCTCACATTGAGGGAACCACGTAAAAATTCTTGTGCTGTTGTTGATTTAATTTTTTCACATTAGTTTTTATTCCCATTGATTGATTACTTGTGGGAAATCATATATTTTCCCTAACAACTGGTATCAGAGCTTACGGTTTATTTGGATTTATTTATTTGTGTAAATCAATGGAGGGGAATGTGGGTCGTATGTCTAGCTTCAATGGAAGCAATTGGGTAACTTGGAAAACTAAAATGGAGAACCTATTATTTTGCAAATATTTGTATGGGCCTATTGAGAGTGATAGTGGCAAACCTGATGATATGAAAGATGATGAATGGAAAAGACTTAATCGAAAAGCCGTTGGTGTTATCCGTCAATAGATTGATGACAGTGTGTTTCATCATGTTGCTACTGAAACTTTAACACATGATTTATGAAAAAAATTAGAAGGCCTTTATGACAGAAAATCAACCACAAATAAAATTTTTCTATTTCATAAGTTGGTTAATTTAAAATATAAAGATGGTAGCCCCATTTCAGAACATTTGAATGAAATAAAGAGTATTGTTAACCAACTTGCTTCTATGAAAATAATTTTTGATGATGAGTTGCAAACTTTGATGCTACTTAGTTCTTTGCCCGAAAATTGGGAGACTTTGGTTGTGACAGCTAGTAATTCGGTGCCCGATGGAGTTGTCACAATGAGCCAAGTCACTAGTAGTTTGTTGAATGAAAAAACTAGAAGAAAATCAGTGGGTTCCTCTCATTCAGAAGCATTTGTTGTGAGAGGCCGAAGCAAAACAAGGGGGAGGAGTAAGACTCCTCATGGTCATGATCAAAGCCGTAACAAATCAAAAGATGGTTCTTTTTCAAAGAAAGACATTGACTGCTATTATTGCCATGAGAAAGGGCACATGAAGCGAAAATGTCAAAAACTCAAGAACAATGAGAAAATGCGTGACAAAAGTGTGGATAAGAAGTAAGAAGACACAAAGGCAGTTACTACCGATGATCTCATGGTTGTTTGTGAACATGATTGTATCAATTTTGTAGACCAAGAGAGCAATTGGGTGATTGATTTCGGTACTTCTTTTCATGTGACTTCTCGAGTTGATTTCTTCAGTACCTACACCAAAGGAGATTATGGGTGTGTTCAAATGGGTAATGAAGGTTTGTCCAAGGTTGTTGGCATGGGTGATGTTTGCTTAGAAATAAATTTGGGTTGCAAGTTGTTGCTTAAAGATGTGAGGCATGTTCCCGACATTCGCTTCAATTTGATCTCTACCGGGAAGCTAGATAATGAAGGCTTCAACAACAAATTTGGTGATGGAATATAAAAGCTCACAAAGAAATCATATGAAGATGGAAGTTGAACTCATTTCCAAAGAAATCATAAAACCATCTTCATCAACACCTCCTCACCTACGAACCTTGAGACTCTCTCTCCTTGATCAAAATGCTGGCCTATGTCATACACCAGTCATCCTATACTATCCCAAGAGGGATGCAAATTTCAACGTCAATGAGAAATTGATTAATCAACTCAAGGACTCACTCTCAGAAACACTCGCTCTCTTCTACCTGCTTTTAGGAAGAGTCAAAGACCGCCTCACCATCGGCTGCAACGATGAGGGGATCCTCTTCTCAACTGCTCGTGTCAATTGTGACATGGCCGAGCTACTTACTGCACAATCACCCAATCTTCAGTCTTTAGGCTACCTTCTATTGGAACAATCTTATGTATACAATAAATAAATTGAAACCAAATCAAACAAATAAAATAAATAACTTACTGAATTTATTTTACCGAACCAAATGAATAATAAAAAGATCAAGTCAAGTGTGTGACACTCTGTCCTTAAGACAGACTCGCCCCGCTACGATGCTTTACGGTTAAGTGGCATCTATCTCCCAAGATACAATGATCTTCACAAATTGTAGTAGCACTCCAAACAATTTGTTCGGCGAACAAAAACCTGCGTTCTTACTCTCTGAATTTTTTCTAAAATTAATATAAAGATTGATATCATGCAAGAGAGCAAAAGTGGAAAGAAAATGAAGAATTTCATATTACCAAAATGCTAGAACAGATCTGGTATATATAGACCCGAACAGGTATGAAAAACAAACTGAACAAGTGGGTTTTTTGAATGAACAGGTACTGTTTGAATTTCAACAGATCTGCTAGACAGTTTGATCTATACAATTCAAATCTGTGTAATTACAGTAGTTTCTAGTAGTTTTAAAACTGTAAAACAATTTGAATCTGTTTAGGAATTTTGGACTAAAGGTGGTAAAATTTGGACAGAAAATTAAATTCAATTTTGGCACAAAATTGAAATTTAATTTCATTAAGAATTTTCTAGAAAAAACTCAAATAAATGTTGTCCAAAAAATTATTATTAGAACCGACCCGACCCACACCCCACATCCGCGCCCAGCACGGCGGTGCGCATGTGTGGTGGATTGAGCCAAGGTTTCATTTGTCCAGAACTCCTCCCTTCTACAAACTTGGGGTGCCCCTTGGGGCCCAACCCAAAGTTGTACACCTAAAGCTTATATACTCACAAAAACTCTCTTAAAGTTTCAATGTGGGACAACCCATTTCAAGGAAACCCACATTTAATTCTTTAAATGTTCATTCCACGAACCCGAAAACGATGTCAAGTTCCTATTCACTCATAAATGGTTTTGACGAACCGTTTTTACCGTGTAACTTGCCACATGGAAAGGAACACGTCACATTTTCGGACCTACCCTAAAAGACGTGTAGACCCCACTCAATTTTAGGCTCAAAGTTGGCCCAAAATAAGCCTATATAAAACCAATTTTCCAGCAATCCCCCACATGAATGGAATTTGACGAAGAGAAAATGTAACAACATGATCTAATTACAAAGAGTATAGAAATTAGAAATATTCTGCAAAGGATAGATAGCTTTTGGCTTTGAACCTTCCCTTGTGAGACACTATTGGATTTACTAGCTAATCAGTGAATATGATGTCTTAAACTGTTCAGCCATTTATGTAAACCAAGATAATAGAGCACACACAATATATTACCAAACACAGTTTAGTTCTCACTACTATGTTCATTTGGCCCTGAACAACCTGGCCTTTCGTGAGTGCTCTAGAGAATTGTAGCCCTTCACAAATCTCATAGAATCGGCCCAGTTCACACTCATATAGGTGATTCGTATGAAGAGTATCCTGCCATACTCCACTAGGTTTACCTAGATATAAGAATCATTAAAATTTTACTTAACCTCAAACGCTGCAGACATCACTATTTCACCATAGAAATGGGTAGGAATTTAACTCCCTAGTGATCCTTATGAGTCATACACAACTCGATTGTCCCTTTGAACCTAGATCTTAGGATCTCTAGTCAACTAGGTTGGGTTGCCGTTGTGGTAACTCTTATTTAATAGATTTAAGTCCCATTCCCGTCAATGAATTTTCAACTAACTCTCTTGCTAACCCTTTGGTTAGCGGATCCGCTATATTGTCTTTAGACTTCACATATTCAATGGAAATAATTCCATTAGAGAGTAGTTGTCTTACGGTGTTAAGTCAACGACGAATGTGTCGTGATTTACCGTTATACATATGACTTTGTGCTCTACCTATTGCCTATTGATTATCACAATGTATGCATATAGCAGGCATCGATTTTGGCCACATTGGAATTCTAATTCCATAGTAGACCTAGCTATGCAAGTCTGTTTGGAAGATTTTCAAGATACAACCGCCCCACCAAGAGTAAAGACATACCCACTGGTGGACTTTAAGTCTCTAGTATCTGATATCCAGTTTGTATCACAACATCCTTCAAGTACTGCTGGATATCTAGTATAATTAAGCCCAATGTTACAAGTAAATTAGAGATATCTTAGAACCCTTATAATTGCTTTCCAGTGTTCTACTCCTAGATTACTCGTATATCTACTTAATTTATTTACTGCATAAGAAATATCTGGGTGAGTGCAATTCATCAAGTACATTAAGCTTCCAATAATTTGGGCATACTCTAATTAAGAAATACTTTCTTGTACATTCTTTGAAAGAAATAAATTAACATCCACATGTGTTCTAGCAAGATAATCATCATCTTTGCTGAATTGTCAAGTATTTTCTCAATGTAATGAGATTGTGACAAAGCATATCCTTCTGATGTTTTGGTAATTTTCATACCAAGAATTACATCAGCAATGACCATGTCTTTCATGTCAAAATATTTATTCAACATTTTCTTGGTAGTTTTAATCATGTCATTATGACTACCTATGATGAGAATATCATCCACATAAAGACATACAATGACATAACCTTTGTCTATGTTTTTAATATAAACACATTTGTCACACTCATTAATTTTAAATCCATATGATATCATTGCCTTGTCAAATTTCTCATGCCATTGCTTTGGCGCTTGTTTTAAACCATATAATGATTTAACCAATTTACACATTTTCTTTTCTTTTCCTAGAACAGAAAATCCTTCTAGTTGTTCTATGTAAATTTCTTCATCTAACTCACCATTTAAGAAAGCTGTTTTCACATCCATTTGATAAATTTCTAGATTGTACAAAGATGCAATAGCAATTAGCATTCTGATGGATGTTATTCTAGTAACCGGTGAGTATGTGTCAAAGTAATCAAGACCTTCTTTTCGTCTAAAACCTTTGATCACAAGTCTTGCCTTGTATTTGTCAATTAATCCATCCGCTTTTATTTTTATTTTGAAAATCCACTTGTACCTAAGAGGTTTACAACCTGGTGGCAAATCCACGAATTCCTAAGTGTGATTTTACAGGATGGATTCAACTTCACTGTTTATAGCTTCTTTCTATAAAGGAGCCTCAGGACTAGACATAGTTTCTTTAAAAGTTAAAGGCTCATTTTCTAATAAAAATGTTAGAAAACCTGGACCAAAAGTTTTTGAGGTTCTAGCACGTTTACTATGCCTAGGTTCCTCTTCTTCGTTTTGATCTATTTCTTGCTTTTGTTCTTGATCATGTTCTTGATCCTGACTAGTAATAGTATCATAAGATCTTTTATTATTACTAGTCTCTTATCTAGTCTTATTTGGAAATTCATGTTCAAAGAATGATACATTCCGAGACTCAATAATAGTATTTACATGCATTTCGGTATGTTCTGATCTATGAATCAAAAACGATATGCACTACTATTCTTGGCATAACCAATGAAAATACAATCAACGGTTTTAGGACCTATCTTAGTCTTTTTAGGACTAGGAATAGCTACTTTAGCCAAACACCCCCACACTTTTAAGTATTTGTAAGATGGTACTCTCCCATGCCACAATTCATAAGGTGTTTGATTCACTTTCTTTCGGAGTACTTTATTAAGTATATAATTAGCAGAAAGTATTGCTTCCCCCCATAAGTTCTTAGGTAATCCAGAACTTATTAACATGGCATTCATCATTTCTTTTAAAATCCTATTTTTTCTTTTAGCAATTCCATTTTGCTAAGGTGGGTAAGGAACTGTGGTTTGAGGAATTATTTCATGCTCTTTACAAAATTCACCAAAAGGTGATTCATATTCACCACCTTTATCACTTCTAAGTTTCTTAATTTTTCTTACCAAGTTGATTTTCAACTTCATTCTTATATTGAATGAAAGTTTCCAAAGTTTCATCCTTGGTTCAAATTAAATAAGCATAACTATATCTAATATAGTCATCTATGAAAGAGATAAAATATTTTTTCCCACCTCTAGTTTGAATTGATTTAAAATCACAAATGTCACTATGAATTAATTGAAGTGGTTCCATACTTCTTTCAATTGAATGAAAATGAGTTTTGGATAATTTTGCCTCAACGCAAGTTTCACATTTATTATTTGAATCAATGTCAAATTTAGGTAAACATTCCATATTAATTAATCTACGCAAAGATCCATAATTAACATGTCCAGGTCTACCATGCCATAAATTTGAAGACTTAAGCAAGTAAGAAGAAGATGTATTATTATTAATAACAGAAGGTATAACAGTCATTACATTCATTTTGAAAAGGCCATCAGACATGTAAGCTTTTTCTACGTACATCTCTTTTTGGTAAGTACAAACTTGTCACTCTCAAAAACTAGCCTAAACCCATTTTTACTCAACAAAGACCCGGGAACAAGATTCTTGCGAATGTCCGGTACATGCAGCACATTGTTGAGAGTGAGTTCATTTCCATATGTCATCTTCAGAATAATCTCTGCTTGTCCTTTAACTTTAGAAGTCGAAGAGTTGCCCACAAAAAGTTGTTCACCATTGTCCACCATTGTCCACCATTGAATAAGATGTGAACATCTTTTTATCGGCACAAATGTGGCGAGTAGCACCAATGTCTATCCACCATTCTTTAGGATTTCCGACAAGGTTTGTCTCGGAAACAACTGTAGAAAGATTTTCGACATCTACACAATTGAAAATTTTGTCCATTTCGGTCATATTTCCTTGAGCATACTTCTTGCTTGATCTTTTTTTGCCTTTGCGTTTGTAACGGCAATCTTTGATCCAATGTCCCTCTTTGTCACAAATGTAACACTTGCCATTAAACTTGTACTTTTTAATTTCCCTCCTTTAGAGACTTGTGAGGAACTTTCTCTAGAAAACTTCCGTTTCTTGGCTTTTGGAGCTTGTTCCACCACATTTGCCTTAGACTTCATTAGATGCTTACCAACCCGCTTTTCAGAATTGCGATTGTCCTCTTCAAACCTCAAACGCACAATCAATTCTTCTACAGACATTTCTTTGCGCTTCTGTTTGAGGTAGTTCTTGAATTCCTTCCAGCCTTGTGGTAATTTCTCAATTAAGGCTGCAACTTGGAAGGATTCACTGAGAGGCATGCCTTCTACGTGAATGTCATGCAGAATGAATTGGAGATCTTGAACTTGGCTGATTACAATTTTAGAATCAACCATCACAAAGTTCAGGAATTTGCCAACCACAAATTTCTTTGAACCAGCATCTTCTGTTTTGTGCTTTATCTTCAAAGACTCCCAAAGTTCCTTTGCTGTCTTGATAGGACTGTAGACGTTGTAAAGTTCGTTCAAGATGTAGTTTCGGCAAAGGAAATCAGCATGTTTCCAAGCATCGACCGCAGCAATCACTTACCAGTCAATTTCATCCTCTTTTAGAATAGGAGCATCCTCACAGAGAAAGCGTGCCAGGTTTAGAGTTGTAAAATAGAACAACATTTTCTATTGCCATCTTTTAAAATCAGTTTCTGAGAACTTCTCTAACTTCTCACCGTGATTAACTGGCACAGTCACAACAGGAGAAGGGGTAAGCGTAATTGCAGCCACCATACTAATACTTGTTTGAGCATTAGTTTGACCAGTTTCAGTAGCCATAATTTTAAATTATAAAATAAAATTATAATTGGAATTATATACTACACAGAAAATTAAACCATAAACACAGAATTTTAAATTCTGTAAAATAAAAGAAACAAGAATTGCAACTTTTATTTTCAATTAATTTGAAAATAAAATAAAATTTTATTTAACCAAATTAATTCCACACAGAAAATTAAATTTCTGTAATACTTCAATAATTAAAATACTGAAACAAAATTTTTTAATTAATGAACACTCAGAAATAATTTCTGAAAACCAAAATTAATTTCTGACAAAATTTCAAAAATAAATATTCTGAATTATTAATGACACCAATATATTACTACTAGTTGTCAAAAAAAATAGACAGTATATTACTACTATCTGTCAAACAGTATATTACTACTATTTGTTTTCCAACCAGAATATTATTTTGTAAAATCACAAAAAATAATTTCTGTAAGAAAAAGAAAAAGAAAATGAAACAAACGAAAAATTCTGTAAATAGAATAATTCGAATCTGTCTTAAGATTGTTGGAACAATCTTCTGTGTACAATAAATAAATTGAAACCAAATCAAACAAATAAAATAAATCACTTACTGAATTTATTTTACCGAACCGAATGAATAATAAAAAGATCAAGTCGAGTGTGTGACACTCTGTCCTTAAGACAGATTCGCTCCGCTACGGTGCTTACGGTTAAGTGGCGTTATCTCCCAGGATACAATGATCTTCACAAATTGTAGTAGCACTCCAAACAATTTGTTCGAGAAACAAAAGCCGATATTCTTACTCTCTGAATTTTTCTAAAATTAATATGAAGAATGTATCATGCAAAAGAGAAAAAGTAGAAGGAAAATGAAGAATTTCAGATTACCAAAATGCTAGAACAGATCTGGTATATATAGACCTGAACAGGTGTGAAAAACAAACTGAACAAGTGAGTTTTTTGAATGAACAGGTACTATTTGAATTTCAACAGATCTGCTGGACAGTTTGCTCTGTACAGATTCAAATCTGTGTAACCACAGTAGTTTCTAGCAGTTTTAAAACTGTAAAACAGTTTAAATCTGTTTAGAAATTTCGGACTGAAGGTGGTAAAATTTGGACGGAAAATTAAATTCAATTTTGGCACAAAATTGGAATTTAATCTCATTAAGAATTTTCTAGAAAAAATTCAAATAAATTTTGTCCAAAAAATTAATATTAGAATCGACCCGACCCACACCCTACACCCGGCACGGCGGCGGCGCGCGTGTGTGGTGGTTTGAGCCAAGGTTTCATTTGTCCATAACTCCTCTCTTCTACAAACTTGGGATGCCCCTTGGTGCCCAACCCAATGTTGTACACCTAGAGCTTATATACTTACAAAAGCTCTCTTAAAGTTTCAATGTGAGACAACCCATTTCAAGGAAACCCACATTTAATTCTTTAAATGTCCATTCCACGAATCCGAAAACGACGTCAAGTTCACATTCACTCATAAATGGTTTTGACGAACCGTCTTCACCGTGTGACTTGCCACGCAGTAAGGAACACGTCACCTCTTTGGACCCACCCCAAAAGACGTGTGGACTCCACTCAATTTTGGACTCAAAAATGATCCAAAATAAGTCTATATAAAACCAATTTTGCAACAACTTCTTTCATATTATGTTTTGCATAATCCAAGTGATTCGGTAGTTCAAATTGCTATGCAACTCAATATATTTACTTGTGGTGGGGTTGTGATCTCTGGGTGTTTCAAGCACAAGATTATAGATGGAGTAACCGGTAGTGCCTTCATTAGACATTGGGCCTCCATTAACATTGCAAGGTCAAGATTATCAAGAAGCAATCATAGTCATACAACAACAATATCATCAGCAGCAGCAGAAGCAATGTTAACATACCGAGTGTCACGACCCGGTCCCGTATAATATTTTATATTTAGTTAATTAAGGAGATTTGGGATTTTAATTAGTCGTTATCCTAATTTAATTTAGAATTTGTGAGAATTATGGAATCTGATTCGTATATGATTCTATTGAAGATTTATTTTAAGGGTCCAAATGGCTTAAGGACGCGAAATTAATAAGTTGAATCAATTTAATTTTAATTACGGACCCATTTGGGAGTTAATTAAATATTTGATTCAGTTTAGTAAAATTGAGATTCGATTAATTAGGTCCGAATTGGAGTTAATTAAGTTAATTAAATTTTGAGGATTGAGAATTGTGATTATTACGAATTAAATTTGTTTATGGGGTGTCCAATTTGAATATTTAATTTGTTTTGGAGTTTGATTAAAAATCTGATTTAGATTGATAATTTTAGTTATAATTAATTGGGCTCTTAAGGAAGTCAAAATAGACTAATTAAATTATGTGGGATTTGTGATTAATTATGATTAATTTAATTATGTACAAATCAAGATTTATTAAGACTGAGTGTTACTTAATTAAGTTAATTTTAATCATAAATTGGAGAATCTAAGAAATTTGAGGGTGTATATGGGTGTGTGTACAGAGAAATTCTGGGTGTGCAAAGAAGTGTTGTGTTGGAAGCTTAATTAAGTGTGCACGTGTGCAACGTGGTGGCAACAAGAGAAGTTGTGTGTGTGTGTAATACATGTGCTGGGAAGTAGATTCAAACATATAGAAAACAGAAAAGAGAGAACCAAAAAGAGAGAGAGAGAGAGAACTTCATTGTTTATACATACAATGTAGTTAATCTGCTAGTGCAAAACTGTGAGAAGGAAGAAAGAAAGAAAAAGAAGAAGATTTAAAGGAGAAATCAAATCAAATCAAATTGTTGAAATTAAAATTTGAGGTATGAGATTCAAGCTTGATTTATGTAGGATCTTCTTTTTATGCTTGAGATTGAGAAGGGTTTGGAATCATGTTCATGAAATTAAAGAGTAATTGGGTTTTGAGCAAGAAATGAATTACATACATAATTATGGAAAATTATGTTAAGTTTCATCATTTTAATTTATATTTTGGAAATTGCATGCATAAGGAACTCATCAATCAAGAACTCTAGATGAGGAATCAAAGCTCAAATCTTGTAGATAAATTATCTAGAAGTTGAAATTAAGAAGTAAGTAGATTCAATTCCATGCAATTACAAAGAAGTTAGTAAGATGGTGAGAAATAGAGTTTGGTTCAAATTTGTGGAAGTTAAATTGGGAATTAATTATTTTGGGTTTGATTTTGGAATAACTTGCATGAGTTGAGTCTAATTCCTACATGCACGGACAAATTCTACAAGATTTAATACTCTAATTGTACATGCACCATAGATTTATAATAATTGATTCATGTTTAGATGTAATAAGAATTAAGCTTTGGAAAAAAATTATGGGTTTATGGACAATGAACTTAATATGTAAATTAAAAGGAGTTTTGATGTAATGGATTTAAAATTGATCATGTATTGATGAAGATGAGCATCAATTGTGCTATCTAAGTTGGAAATGAAGCCTATATTTCGCATGCATGTGAAATTCAAAGTGATATGGAAATTAATTTGCATGAGTTTTAAAGATATGAAGTTGGTATGGGTTGTCAAGAAAAATATGAAATAATTTGGGAATTGAATTGTGATTTTGGACAAATTAGACTCAATTTTCTTATGTCCACATATTGTATAAAGATTTCCATGATTTTGTATCAAGAACATGAGCTTTAGACCCTTTGAATGCTAAGTTTGAGCTTCAAATGCAATTCTGGAAATTTCAGAATTTGGCATGTCCGCTCGAGCGGGGAAATCGCTGCTCGAGCGTGAAATGTTGGCTTCCAGAAATTTTGCAGACATTTATGTTCGCTCGCGCGGAAAGAGTCACGCTCGAGCGTAGAAATGTAGTAACTAGTACTTTTGCAGACCAAAGGGGTCCGCTCGAGCGGCCAAATCTGCGCTCGAGCGGAGAGCCTTGTTCCTGAAATTATGAAAAATGGTTTTGTGTTTTGTTTTCCGTTCTCTTTCATTTCTAAGCACTCTTAGGAATACATTGAGCTTTGTAAATGACCTATAAGGTAAAGAAAGAAGCCTAAGAGAAATAAATAGCTTAAAGAACGGATTGAATTGTTTGTGACCCAATATGTGTTATGAATTGTGTAGGAGCATAAGGACAAATCCACCGGCAGAACACTGTGAGTAATATCTTAGTAAAGATATGTTCAAGTATGTTGTTTTCCCAAATGTTACTTCTGTACATGCCTTATGGATTTGTATGTTTGAATTAAGAATAAGTATTCTAAATGTCAATCTTTTGCTTAAGGCTAAGTGAATACAAATACGATCATGATCATGAGTATGAAACACACATAAATACATCTGACATGAATGATTGGGCCAAAGGCTGTCTGACATGAATGATTGGGCCAAAGGCCGTCTGACATGAATGATTGGGCCAAAGGCCGTTTGACATGAATGATTGAGCCAAAGGCCGTCTGATATGAATGATTGGGCCAAAGGCCGTCTGACATGAATGATTGGGCCGAAGGCCGTCTGACATGAATGATTAGGCCGAAAGCCGTCTGACGTGAATGATAGTTTGACATGAATGATTGGGCCAAAGGTCGTCTGACATGAATGATTGGGCCAAAGGCCGTCTGACGTGAATGATAGTTTGACATGAATGATTGGGCCAAAGGTCGTCTGACATGAATGATAGTTTGACATGAATGATTGGGCCAAAGGCCGTCTGATATGAATGATTAGGCCAAAGGCCGTCTGATATGAATGATTGGGCCAGAGGTCGTCTGACATGAATGATAGTCTGACATGAAGGATTGGGCCAAAAGCCGTCTGACATGAATGATAGTCTAACATAAAGGATTGGGCCAAAGGCCGTCTGACATGAATGATTGAACCAAAAGTCGTTTGACACAAACGAATTGGGCCTGAGGCCGTTTGATATGTTTGGGCCTGAGGCCATTTGATATATTAGATAAAAACGTGAATGGGCTTAAGGTCGTTAGATATGTCTGTTACAAATTTCATTCATGTAACTTCTTTATTTTGATATTATTCACTAGGCTATCGCTCACTCTCATTTGTATGTGTGTAGGTGAGCAAAGGGATGTCCAAACCCAACCCCAGTGAAAGATATGAGAGGAAGTCAAGTTTTGTGGAGTCAGCCCGCACGTCTCACGCACGAGACTTTATTTTTGTTCATGTGTTTACACTTTTGCTTTATCAGTGAATACGTTGGATCATCCATGCATATAAGTTTGTTTTGTTTGGCTGACTGCATGTCTTGAAGTTCTTGGATGTATAAGATATTAACTCTGTTTTATGTGTGAGTTATTATGGACCGTTTATGAAATGTTTCGCTTTATCATCATTGGACAAAAATTTTAAGTCTGCTTCCACTTTTGGCCCCATATGATTATTTAAAAATCTGTTTTCTGTTTAAGGCCGTAGGTAATCCAATGATTACTGACTGGTTATGATCCTAATCTATGGGGCGGGTTCGGGTCATGACACTACCAAATAGGAACTTAGCAGGAGTGAGGCCGTTTGATATGTTTGGGCCTGAGGCCATTTGATATATTAGATAAAAACGTGAATGGGCTTAAGGCCGTTAGATATGCCTGTTACGAATTTCATTCATGTAACTTCTTTATTTTGATATTATTCACTAGGCTATCGCTCACTCTCATTTGTATGTATGTAGGTGAGCAAAGGGATGTCCAAACCCAACCTCAGTGAAAGATATGAGAGGAAGTCAAGTTTTGTGGAGTCAGCCCGCACGTCTCACGCACGAGACTTTATTTTTGTTCATGTGTTTACACTTTTGCTATATCGGTGAATACGTTGGACCATCCATGCATATAAGCTTGTTTTTTTTGGTTGACTGCATGTCTTGAAGTTCCTGGATGTATAAGATATTAACTCTGTTTTTATGTGTGAGTTATTATGGACTGTTTATGAAATGTTTCACTTTATCATGTAAGCACAACTCATTGGACAAAATTTTTAAGTCTGCTTCCGCTTTTGGCCCCATATGATTATTTAAAAATCTGTTTTCTGTCTAAGACCATAGGTAATCTAACAATTACTGTCCGGTTATGATCCTAACCTATAGGGGCGGGTTCGGGTCATGACACCCAGGGGCCTCAATCTTCGCTTCGAAACAATCCCTGCCAGTTGATCTCTCACTCTCACCTGACAGGATGTTGCTTAGGGAGGGAAAGGGTATCACACAAAGATTTGTGTTCAACTCCGAGGCAATATCCAGACTCAAAGCTAAAGCCACTAGTGAACAGGTGCCTTATCCAAGTCGTACGAAGTAATAATAGCCTTCATTTGGAAACATACTATGGCTGCATCAACAGCTGTTTGGGGTGTGCAACAACCTTCCATATTGAGTCAACAAATGGACTTAAGGCGACAAATATTGGTACCTCCATCATCAAAATATTCCATTGGGAATTGTTTATGGAAAGTAGTTGTACATTATGATGCAGTTACCAAGAGGAGACCATGTCATTGAATGGCTTGCTGGGCTTGCTGAGAGATGCAGTAGAGAAAACAAAAGTTGATATTTTGCCAAAGCTACAGCAAGGAGATGGAAAAGGGTATGAAATATTTAGTAAGTTTTTCGAAGACTTAAAAGAAACCTATGAGAATAATAAAAATCTGATCCCATACATGTTTAGCAGTTGGATCAAAGTGGGTTTCCATGAAGTTGATTTTGGGTGGGGAAACCCCATGTGGGTTAGTTATATTGGGGCTACAGTTGATTCACGCAATAAGAATTTTGATTTTTTGATTGAAGTCAGATTGGATGAAAAAATTGAAGCTTGGTTGACCATAGATGAGTGTGAAATAGCTGTCCTAGAACATGATCAGGAGTTCCTTGAATTTGTTTCTGTGAATCCACCTGTAATTAATCCCAAAGAGTTAGTTTGGTGGTCAAGGCTTGGGACTGGGGGCAGTGCTCCCTCCATAGTCTCCGGTTCGAATTCTCTTAGTTCCAAACAACTTCTCGGGTTTAGTCCAAAACCTCGGCTTTAATTGAGACCCTTGCTAGTAAACAGTGAAATTAATCCTCCAAATTAATTAGTTTATTGAGGCGAATACTGAATTATTAAAAAAATAAAAATAAAGAACCCAATTGTAATTCTATCCAAGCTAGCTAGATAGTAATGACTCATGTCATGCCTATTTTACTATCAGAAATGATACAGATCCCTTTTTTTTTTTTTTTTTTGACTCCTATAATCTCCACAGATACAGCTAAAGATAAAAGGAAAAAAAAACAAAACAAAACAAAACAAAAACAAAAATAAAAAATTAATCAATCACAAGACATTGGTGATGGGGATCCTGTAAAAGGGTACCAACCTTTTTCCTTCTACTATTTCCTATACTTTATAGAAAATTCGAGACAGAGCCTGCACTATCGTTTGTTGCTAATAATTGTGTGTTGTGTCAGATGGTCTATGAGATTCTGAATCGTAACTAGAATTTGCACGAAGGAAGGAAACTATGGTTTTAGGATAGTGACTTCTTGTACTTTTATTTAATTTCACATTCTGTTTTCTTTTTTGATTCAGTTTTATTATTTTCTATTCAATAACTTGTAAGTAATTATTCAGTAATCTTGGAGTATGGACACATGGTATTTCATATCATTATAGTTGGTAGAAAACGTGAATAGGTGGGTATTGTGTTGAGTAATTGGAGAATATGAAGGGATATATTGAAAGATGATTGGTTAGGAAGTATAAACATGTAATACTCCTAGAATATTGAATAATTTCTCACAAATTGTTGGTTCATCAACTAATTTTCTCATGCGTTAAGGATTTTTGGCTTTTGCTTTGCAATCACCTATATAAAACCAAAGGGCACATGATTGTTTGTTCTTTTAAGAGGAAACTGCCTACTGAATGTGGGACAAATTATATTGATAGTCTTTATTAGGGTTGCTTGCAGATCAGTTTTTAACGGTTTGGTTTGCAATTTGAATTTATTCGCATATCTGCGGTTTGGAGAAAATTAAACCCACAACCACTCGCAATTCAGATTGCGGTTGATGCGGATAGGGTTCACGGATGTGCGGGCGGTTTGTAAATTAAGCTTTTTCCTTTTAAAATTTATTTTTTGGCTTGTTTTTCCCCATTTTGTAAATATTTTTTATTATGGGAGATTCAACACTATCCTCTATTAAAACTGGATTACAAAAAATTAGAATGAAAATTAAATAAAAACTAACATAGAAAAAAAAATCATATAACTAGATTTGCAAAAAATAAAAAAATTCCAATTGAATATAAGTTTTTCAAACAAGACAGTATGTAATATTATTATAATGTTAGTACCTACAGGTTTGATAATCAGATTAAAGTGAGTGAGAGAATAGAAGATTAGGATTACACACTTACAAAACTTACAAGAAAATATAATGGTTAAAAAAAAATTGTATACAAATGCGTGCGGGTGAGTGCGCGTGCAGGTAAAACACGCGACCCGCCGCAACCCGCAAAACAGGAAAAATCCTAAATCGCATCCGACCCTAACAATTTTGTGAAACCGCCCAAAAAGGTGCGGGTGATTCGGATTTGGCGGTTTTTATGGGTCAGATAACCCTATACCTAGCCCTAATCTTTATGTTTTGCGCTTTGTTATCATTTTATTGATTCTTATACATTCAATTGACTCAATTTTCACCCTTAATTTTAGATTTTGTATAAATTTAGTCCAATTGATGACGGTGTTAGTATTTTTGACGAAAAATGATCACTACATTATGTAAGGATAATTCACTAAGTTAAGTAAATTTATAATTTTAACTCTAAAATCATGACATATGTCACTTATATGCATATTTTTTCTTAAAAATACTAACAATTGTAAGTAATTGGACTAAATTGAGGAAAAAAAATCATAAATTTAAAGTCAAAATCGAGCTAATTGAAATTATAAGGACCAAAATGACACAAAGACCAAAATACAGGGACTACTAGTATAATTTTCCCTTGAATATGGTATAATAAAAAATTGAGTAAATTACAGTAATCCCTTAATTTTGACCCCTTTTTTAGTGATTCTCCTAATGTTTAAAGCTCAATAGTTAACCCTTTTCAAGTTTTACCTTGTGATACTAAGCCACTTCCATTAGTAATATATTAAGGTTTTAGATGGAAACTTGTCACATGAGCAACCCTTGACATAATAATTGCATTTTTAAGATGACAATACCCTTATTTTTCTTTATTTAGTTAGGGTTTAGTTCATTATAAATAAGCATGTCTGCCTTCGGGAAAAATAACTTTTATTCAATATAATTCAGTTTCTTGAAAATTCTTTCTCTTCCTTGTAGATTCGAGGTGTTCTTCGTTTACTAGAACGATATCTAGCATCGTGTGATATATTTTGCTGCGTCAAGTGGTATCAGAGTAAGGATTCGCCTGACTCAATGGCACAAGATAAATGAGATCATACAAACCCCACTAGCAGTGATCATGGGGTCGATGCCCTGTGGATTGCTTTTGAGAAACAGCAAGAGTAATTGAACAAAATTCATGATCTACCTATTGGTCTGAATCTCAACGCCAACAATAGGCCACCAGTGGTTGATAGGGTCCTTGCTAAGGGATTTGCCTAAGGCCAACCTATTAACCAGAATAAAGTGCACACCGGAAGACTTGCCCGAGGTCAACCTATTCAGAATGATCCTAGACGTCCCCTTCGTTGTCCATCTGACAATGAGGAGGAATCTGAACTAGAGATTGAACTAGTTCTAACCAATTATTAACCAAGAAGGCTACAACAACAAGGGTTTGATGACTACAAAATGAAGATAGATCTTTCCCAATTCAATGAAAATCTACATATTGAGGAATTTCTTAACTAGCTTTCGGAGGTAGAGCGATTCTTTAGGATAATGGATGTTCTAGAATCAAAGACTTGTTGCATACAAACTAAAAGGAGGTACTGCAATTGGTGGGATCAATTGCAAAAGAATCTGATATCGGCAAGGAAGAGATTCTATGCCGACTTGGCGTCGAATGAAACAACTCCTTCAAGACGGATTTTCACCACCAAATTATGATCAATACTTATTTTATTTGTGCCGAAATTGTACCCAATGAAGTAGATCTGTATCTGATTATACAACTGAATTTTTTCGATTTTCATATCACAATAATCTGAATGAGACCAAAGAACTATGTGTAGCCCAGAATCTCAATGGGTTAAGATCAACCATTCGAGAGAAGATAAGGTAATCAGTAGT